TTGATTGTGAGGGTAAATGTATTTCAAATGTGTATTTCATCTTCTCCTTACTTGATAACTTCCACAATTGATGCTCGCTGACTCCCTGATAGCCAGTCTGACTGACTGATTGGCTGACTGAATGACTGATTGGCCCCTTTACTGACTAAATGAACTTTTAAGCCTGGCGAACTTACTAAGATGGTAAGTAGCTGCCTCTTCAATTAATCAAAAAATGTCGGACACAGTATTCGTCAGTACTTACTATCTAATTTATCGAATGGTGGGTGTTAGAGAGTTGGGTTTCTTACATCGTGCTTTTTTCTTTCAGCATCTTCCTTAGGCTCTACGAGTTCTGCTGAATCCACTCCTTTAATTTTGCCAACTACCACATCTTCCTTAGCAATGACATCTGAAATAGTTTCATGTTTAGGATCACTTGATTGCGAGGGTAGGTTTGTCTCAAATCTGTATTCCGTTTTTTCTTTACTTCATAACTTTCATACTTTCTGCCCTCTTACCTATGATCTTACTAACCGATAGCCAGTCTTACTGACTGGCTGACTGACTTGCGATCTGACTGACTAAATAAGTTCTAAGGCCTGACTAACTAACTGAGATGCTGGGCAGCGGCGAAAACTTTGCAGTCGATAGATTATTTTAATTGTTTTTTATACAGCTGCAGTCAGATAATAAGTTACTTGTGTCAGAAATGCAAAAAAATAAATAAATAAATAAATAAAAAAATTAGGGTTCGCTGACTTCGTTTCAGAGATAAAAGCGTGCGGAAAACTACCCTGATTTTGAAAAATTGGCGCGCGTAATTCAGCAAGGTCTACAGGGGTTTATAGTTAAAAATATCGAAGGTGAATCAATGGAGGCAAACGATCTTAGTCATATTTTGTAAAGGTGTAGATTCTAAATGTTGCCAATGTTTTCACAAAACTTAACCCTTCAAGAGGCACTTAAAACCGCCGCACAGATAAACGAATAGCTGAAAAGAACGGAGTTCGATGGTGCATTTTGCAAAAGATTCAAACTTATAATCGATAGATTTTCTTCATTTTTTCGCTAAACGTAGAAAATCGGTAGAGAAAATGATTCATCAAAAGAAAAATA